TCGCACTTTCATGCTCAGTGGAGCCAGAAGACCCTAATTACAAGTGAGAAGCACTGGCTTGGAATTACAAGGAGCTCCTCTATGATCAATCGTCCTGGCATGAAGTACTGAAACTTTCTTCAACCTTTCTTCTCGATATTTTCGATGAGAAATGGAGGATCGGAATAAAGGAATTCCCTGAATAAATTAACCTAGGATACTCTCACGACCCTCAAGTCAACACAATTGATGAGGGAAGATATTGAATGTCCTGCAAAGAATAACAAAAGAATGTTCAGGAAACGCCATCACCTGAGAATTGAAATGTGGGTCCGTTGCACACATCCCTTGCTGTTGGGATGGTGAATAAGAGAAACACTCCCCTGCATTGAAGGTTCTCCGCTGAACTGCAGTGTTGATTCAACAGATGCAGGCCCTCTTCCATTATGCTTAATTCAATCTTGGGTCTGGAATTCACGTGGATCCGAACCTGTTTAAAGATCGGATTCCCTCTCCGAGACGGTGTCGACTTGCCAATGTCTAAAAGGCTGCATTCCCTTGGGCAATCGACGCAATGACGCGAGTCGACTAATGGCTCTCAAGCACCTTGAAAAAGTGAAGTACCAAAAATGCCAAGATCGAAGTTCGCCCCAATGCCATAGTCGAAAGAAGCTCTCGCTGAAGGCTTCGAGGAGTATGTCTTCCCCGTTGCTATTCATTCCCATTACCTTCTCCAGGGCAGACAAAGGAAAAGCATTTGTTCTTTCACTTCTTTGGCTCCCTTCTCCTCCGACCCCCATGATTCATGTTGAACCCCTTGGCCTGACGACCCCCTGTCACATCTTAAGAGTGCATGGAGGGCCATGTTTCATCGTAGGACGGAGAGGCGAATCCGAGGAGGCCAGAGGATCGAAGCTCCCAAATGAGAAAGTTTTCATAATGCTGTTACGTTGCCCTTAGATGAAATGGCCTCCATCACGCAGGATGGAGATCTCTTTCCATCAATTAGCATTGTCTTCGAGGAGACAATATGGGGTCGAATTTCTTCTCAATGGGACCATGACCTTCATTCATGCTGAAAGGCCTGACGATGAATGAAGGCCCATAGTGGCATCGGACCATTTCACCTCATGAATAGCCAACCTCTACGCTCCCAATTAACTCCATTACTGCACGGTGTTCCAGATATGGCACATACCGGAATATTATTTAAATAAAATTGCTGAAGAATCACAATGTGGCGGATGGGGAATTTCTGAAACATCCTTGATGTTCCCGATTTGAAAGAACACCAATACTTTCAAATGTATGTTTGCTACCAACTGGTACCATATTGAAGATACCATGTCGGTACCATAGCCGAGTAAAGACTTTTCGCCTTATTTCGCCGCAAGCTCCTCAATTTTTTAACCATAACATTTCATGCCTAAAAAACGGTATCGTGCATTACTTGTTTCATATATTCATCTCACATCTTTGTCTGAGGTTTCACAAATTATACCTATAGGGTGGACCATAAATATTCGCACCAAATCGAAGTCTTATATTTCCTGTCCTAATAACTTCTCATGTAATCAATTGAATCTCAGCAAGACACAAGAGTTCACAGTAACTACTCACAAAATATGATCGATGTGTTGTCCCCCCGTCCTTCTTGACGGCAACCTGGAATCTTTGAGTTGATCACACCAGACGGACATGGTTTCACTCCTCTTTTGGCACAAACCTTAACTGATTCAGGTCTTTGGATTTCATTTATGAGCACTTTCTTCCAGCAGACTTCACATACAGTAATCGATTTAGTTACGGTCAGAGTTATATGAGGGTCATTCGTATTCTTTGATCATTTATCCTCATGGTCAGCCAGACAATTTCTTGAACGTCAAGCCATTTCTAGGTGGAGAATTGGTGATTTGTGGTGATTTGTGTCGAAAAAGCAAAGGATGACCACCAAAGCGACACTCATATAGAGGTACAAAACATATTTTCGTTGCTGTTTGTAGGTGTTCAAAAATAGAAAAGTTACAAGTGCTATGAATATTTATGGCCCACCCTGTATTGCAGTTTTTCTCTTGCAAACTTCTTCCATTTAAAAAAAAAACAGTTGCATTAAAATGATAAAACATGGACAATTTTATATAAAATATATTACTTTAGAACCGTTAAGAAAATGAATGCAAACGTTGAAAATTTCCCCGGGGCTTTCATATATCATGCAGTAAAGGATCTCATGAATTTCACTTGGGTTTTTAGGGTGGATTTTTGAACAGAGCACTATCCGATGATGCAACCGGATTTATAATGCATTTTCTCTGAAATAAAGCTGCGTTATTGGATAGTGCTCTGTTCAAAAATCCACCCTTACACGGGCTCCAAAATCACCGAATTCGAAGGGAACACATGCACTGAAAACTGAAAATGCCAATGAATCCACATGCAGCCCTGCGTGAAAAGCCAACCATCAGAAGTAATATACTCATCATGGAATTATTGCAGACATAGAAGTAAAAAAAAAAAGTATAAGCTTGGATAACCAAGCTCTCTCAATCAATTCAATGCATGTTCTTGACAGCCCTTTCCCCAGAGGGTAGTCAATTGAATCAGGATCTCGTCTTTGATAAAGAGGAACCAATCGAGGATCAAATCTCAAGACAATAAAAGCAGGATGAAAGAGAACAATATGAAGCACGGCGGTGGGGGGGAGGCGAAACTCCGCATTTCCTTCATTCATCTTGAGGGATGAACTTAGGATATAGGATTGCATGGATTACTCCTGAAGAGTGGCAGTTAATCTTCCCATTCCCTCCTCCCTTCATATTATCTTTCTCTCTTTGGTAGAGAGAATATCACGACTAGGTAATTTACAAAACTCCTTTTTTCACACCTCCTTTTTTATGAGTTGATTGCATGAAACTAACTTAAGCGTAATGAAGCTTTAACCCTTTCGTGGGTAAATTTGTTCTAAAGTGCAAATGACAAAATCCAGCTAATTTTCTTTTTTTCACTAAGAGAGACTTTTATTTTGAGAACTTATTTTATTTCCAGACTTTCTTCAAATATAAAAAAATTATCATATTTGTGCTGGGAATTATTCTTTCCAGTGCCCTTTTCGTCTGCACAAATTCATAATATTGTTGACATTGTGGTTCTAAACATGCACAGTCTTCCACAAAGCAGCCGAACGTACAGGGATCCCTTACATGTGTCTACGAGGAATGAAATTGCTTGAAATACAACGGATGCATATGAAGGGAACTTGTCTTGAAAGAAAGGCTCCCTTATGTATTCCGTTGTGTTTCAAGTTTCCGTTTTATGCATTCTCTGCTTCTTGAAAATGTTGCCCGAACAGGTCGCAGGCTTCCATATCTGCTCCAAAATAGCTTCCGTACAGGCCTCACGGGCGCCGGGTAAAATTTGCATGGAGTTGTCTTGGTCACTGGTAGATAGTTCGGGTGTTATATAGTGGGATGAAGCCTTCCCAGAACAATGGGAGGGTGAAAGTTTGCTGGGAAGAATTCTTCCCAGTGCCCACGAAAGGATAAAACTTCCATTAGCACCGCTGAAGGAGGTTTAAAGCTTTATTACGCTTTAGTCAGTTTTATGTAATCCACTGGATGTCTTTAGTCGCAGTCGAGTGGCAGTTTAACTCCTACCCGCAACTTACATCGAATTCTTATTGTGGCATTGCCAAGATAGTTAAATATGATTAATTCATGGCCGTAGGCACGGAATGATATCGTTTAGCCGAGGTCTTCTTGGAGACAATGTCTCCTGAGACGAGGGAAAATTGCTACAAAGAGATAGAGACCGATTCCTCTCGAGATGATAATACGCCAGAATTTCATATTGAGGCGCGGGGAGCGTGACTAATTAAAGCATTATAGAGAGAGGGAGAGCATATCTCTATCCTTTGACCTGGGTTTTCTCATTTCCCCTTAATTACGTGTCAGAGCAATGAGATCGACGTGGGATAGCTGCAGATGCTTCATGAAAAATGACGTGCTTCATTCTCCACGAAAAAAAATCATGACGGTTCAGGGAATAGTTGTCATCGACAGCATCTGCAGCCTCTGAATGCATGGTTGCGGATTCTCTGGTATAGCTTGGCCCTAACTTCCAACGGTATAGAATGAGGCAAGGAGATGGGGGTTGTGATCCATACCCATCAGTGCTTCGCGGATAATGGTATGCAAATTGCATATATCCTGGGCTTGAGGTGCAACCGTGGGATTGAAGTTGAACACAATTTCGAATTTCATCATCCTTCTTCACCCCCTGATACATGCATGCAACTTTCTTTTCACTCTACTCTCCTTGGCTGCCTGGGAAGCCAACGCTTTCTCGAATCCATATCAGCGATCGATTAGGAGTTGATTAGGTACAAAGGTGATGTTACTTGAACAAGATCTTGTCTTCAGTAACTCGTACATCTTAGAAGAAGACTCATCAGCTCTGTGAAGTTATTACGTCACATCACCGACTTTGTGGGGCTCTCTGCCCTCTGACATGAGACTCATGAAGCACGCTATTGTTCATCTCCCTGAGTCTTCGGCTCAATGCGGAGGGCTCCACGCACTTCATCTCGCACACGGAAGTAATTTTTACTCTTAATTTTACATCAAATTACTCACTCTTGGACGGGATCGTTCACTGCGTTTCATACATGCTATCTACAATAAAGATTCCTCTCTCAAAAGCTTGAAGTGAATGAAATGAATAATGGAGAACAGTAGGAAGTCCTCTGTTCTGGGTGTAAGGGGCTGTATTAAACAAGAATGTCATGACTTACTCATGAGCATTGACTGAATCCCCGTATTGCATCTTCTATGCCATTCAGCAAGACAAAACCCCGAGCATCAGAGTAGAAGTCTGCATCATAAACATTTTCAATATTCATGCCTGAAAAGCTATCGTGCAAATTATAACTTCCTCTCATTCGATTATCTCATGGAAAAGCAAGTAATTTGCTGATTATTTGCGAACAAATATTCTATCGCACTATCGAAAATGCATGATTTCAGGGATAGAAAAGAAGGCATGGAGGGATCAATATTGAAGAATGAAGCTTTCTTGGTCATCGTCCTGTTCCTGACAGTACTGGCGGCTCACAGCGCCCAGGGACTCGCAATTCCCAAGTGATGCCATTTGAACAAATTCATCACCATCGAAAACAAGAGATAAGAGATGTTGAGAAGTCGTTCATTCACTTCCAGGTACGACGAAGAAGCGGCGGACATGGAAGGGAGAATGGAGGCCATCAGGAGGTTTCTCGAAGGTTCTCCATACCAGCGACCGAGGCTTTTCTCTACTGATTGGAACAGGGAATCTATGGATCTCGACGACATCAAGTCAGTTTCCGAGATACAGCATTAAAGACAGAATTTATACGACGGCCAGTCCTTCATGCATGCTTCTGCATGATCGGATTATCATACAGAAACATTGTCAACGCGCGGCAAAATCAGAACCAGAAGTAGGATTTTTCGTCCACCGGGGGATTACCTCCCCTAATAGGAAAGGAATCCCAGATGATCCCAAGGATTGCTTTCCATTTGCCTTATTTTTTTTTTTTAGCAGTCATGTCAAGCAGGATCGAGATCAGAATATCTTTTTCTTCTCTCTTCCTTCCTTCCTTATAGGGATAAGAGGGGCCTGGATTTTGGATTGGGCCGAGGTCACTCGGGTTCCTTGACTGCCAAATATCTTCTGGGTCAGCTGATTGCCAACAATCCGAATGGGCCAGGACGGAAGTAGAAAATAGAAAAAGAAGACGATTGGTCATTCTTCTCTTCATTTGTTTCTCAACTCAACGATAGTGAAGGACGAGCACCAAGGATGAGATAGACTGAACTCAGCAATAAAAAGCAGCCAAACAGCCAAAAAAAAGGAATCTACAAAGACAGCTGCATTCACCCCTACACTACGAAGTGGACGGATTTTGTTGCTGTACGATACTGAACAAGTAGAACCTGGAAGCTGAGTTCTGGTTAAAGACTATTCACTTCCCTGTATAATGTAAAGTTTGCTCTTATAGGAAACCACGTCTTGTCATCTCCAGGTGGCTTCGCTCAAAAATGAATTTGGCAGCACCTTCTGAGAACAACATTTGGTTTCGCGTAGTGGGAAGGAGTAAAAAAAAATCTATAATTAATGAAGTTGAACAAGTTCACATAGCCCCGCCCTGTTTAACCGTAGATCCTACTCTGTCTCGCTCGAAAAATTTTGACGTCATGCTCATCGTGGTGCAATCTGGTTGGTGGGCGTGGTGGAGACCTACCTCCTGGGCGAATATTACAGAGTTAACCGAGTACGTCTTGACCGATTCCATGTTTCAATTTGAAGCAATTCAACCGTCTCGAAAGAAACAACCAAGAAAAATTATGTAGGATGGAGGTTTTTTTTTCTCCGTTTACTTCGCCATGTCATGCCCTGCTTATGGGGGTTCAACAATTACGGAAAATTAACGTTAAATATTCAAATCATGTCAATTTAAAAGGAATTTCATGGCCGTGACATCGAGGCTCCTGGTCCACTGAAAGTGGAAGTTAGATCATCGTCCTGGGTTCCATTGTTTAGAAATACCGCGAATCATCGAGCCACCTTTAGCGTATCGTGGTCTTTTATTACAGTCACTAAGGTCTTTTTCGACTGTCAACATCTGCGCAATAAAGAACGACCAAAGATACCATTTCCCCAACGCAGAAGTTTGCGGGATGGAAGTGCGTCTCTTCTTGATAATTTGTTGCCAAAAAGCCAAAGCAGAGTTCTAGCCGCTTGTGAAGGCACATGCTTCTCATTGGCCTGTAAGTGTCGAAGACAATGACTTTCTGCATTTAGCCCTTTATTATTTTTCCACAACGTCTCTAATTGCATTTTTTTTGCGAATTCCAAGAAAGATTAGTTACAAATGAGTGTTTCTTTGGATGACGACGGAAAATCACTTTCGTATTATTTCCATGGAGTTCTGTTTTTAGATATCCAATTGGAGGCTTAGGTTAGCAGACGGCTGTTTTCGTCAAATATTTTTCGAGTGAGACAAATTGTAAATCCTGTGACTAAATGAATAAACCCTTCAGCAGGAGGCATTATTTATTATCGACGTAACCGTTTAGTTTGGTTAATCGAATTATGCATGCCCCGTTGGATTCGTTTTGCTTTCTCCAAGGCTTCTTCCTCGATTTATTTTCCATGTTCGAATGTGTAGCATCCCCTCCCCTACCTTACAGCAAATTCCAATCTCAAGAGTTTTTCTCGAGACTGAGGACACGCTTCGTTTTTTGAGGGTTGATCAAAATGGTGCAGCATGAGGGGGCAATCCACACTGATCAGCCATTTTTCGTCATTCAACTCAAAATCTCCGTTCCCTTGCAAACAAAGCCACGATCGATGCCATGACAATCACGAGACAGATTTTCCTTAATTTACGCTTCCATCATTTCCCATTAGACGAGTTCTCTTGGACGAACTCGAATACTAAAGCCAGTTGTGGAAGATGATCACCAAGGTGACTAATAATCGAAACGTGTCCTCCTTTTCGAGGGTGATACAGGCTTTTCTTCATCTGCCGAGATTTTCTTTCCACATGCAATGAACACCAGGAACTTTAAAATCCACTTTAAAAAATTGCATACCTTTTTTTTTGCAGTTGACAGGATTTCAACATGAAATAAAAACGATATTTTGAATGTCTTCTGTCTCAGGAAGCCGTGTTTCTCTCTTATTTCCAAAAACAACAGTGACACTAGGGATCTTCCCTCTCTCTGAAGGACGAGCAACAGAAGAGGACGCAAATATATACAACACTGAAAAGTCAAACGTTACTCCATGGTCTTGAATTGCAAGCTACTTGGACTCCGACGGGGAAGGGAAGTGACAAAGGGGCACAACATGCCTCGTTTAAAAGAGGCGATTCAGCTAATCTTCTTGCCTTAGAAAACAATTTTACACTTGAGACATTTTTCGTAAATGGATCATTCCACCTCAAGTGTCTGCCAGCCTATGAAGTCCTTGGACTTGAAAACTTGAAAATTTAGCATTGAGGTTTGTCCCATAGAATACAGAAAAGTACTGCCGAACACGTTTGCATTCGCATAGGTCAGAGTTACACAGTTCATCTCCAAGTTTCCTAAGTTGCGTGCGTGCGTGTACTGGAGACAGAATTGGACTGAAGGCGGTACAGCCCATGAAGCTATCACGAGTATACTCCGGCGTGGAATTTAAAGGGTTAAAGAGACACAACAAATTGCAGGAGTGTGCTTTTCCTAGGTACTGAGTCATAGAAAACATCCAGTGAGGTCATATGGTCTAGCTTCTTTGGCAGTAGGCGGTGTCAAACAATGACTTCACGGATAATCTCTGCCTCTTGTCTAACATGATCTATCACTGATTGTTGATCGATCACTGAGTGTTTAATCCTATCCGGCTTTTGAATAAGCAGCCCTAAGCTTATAGGTTTGGATTTTTGACCTGAGAAGGACGTCCAAGTGAAAGACTCAGAGATCGATCAGTCTTTCACCTTCTAGTCAATTCGTCTGTTAAACATATTGCGATTTCGATGGGCTAAAAATATTTTCCATACTAGATCACTGTGGTCATTGCTATACTGCACGATGAGAATTGGCACCAAGTGAATGTGCGTTTAAGGACAGAATCATGGGAGGGACAAGAGTGGAAATAGATTGATTTTGCATTTCGCATGAACTATCTTCGTTCTTTAAATTTGGACTTCATGACAAGCACATACACAGATTCCAATCAACTTTGACTTTCATCATCTGTAAACACTGTATAAGAAATAAGAAATATAAACTCTTTCTCTGACCAGAAAAGAGGAAGAACAACTATTTGAAAATGAAGAAACAGTGCTGATCCTTTTACAGCGGATGCTGAGAATCTGAATTTCAGTCGTGAATTCCCATCAAGTTCAGTTTTTGGTATGAGAGCAGATGTCCTCTACGAAACTCTTAATCCACAGAACTTTCTCAACATTGACATTAATTTCCTGGAAATTTAAAAATTGATAGATAGAACATTCTGGTTCTAAGATGGAGAAACATATAATATTTTAATTGAAAGAGGCCGAAAGTTGTGGTGGCTGTCACCCCTAACGTGCTAGGCCTACGATGCCATAACATTCTAGGCAATAAAAAACTTCGGTAATTTTTTTTGTTTGGTTTGAACCGAATTGCTTCATATTTTCACATTTCCGCCCATTAGACGGCCAGTATAGCGGCCACAGTCCGCTAGTCGCAACTATTTTAACTTACCCCGTACGGTAAAACACCACCGAGCGATAATTTTTTATCCGCAATTCTGACCAGCAGGAAATATAAATTCATTGAAATTCCAATACTGAAGTTATTGGAATGAAAATGTTCATCATGAAATGTACTATATTCTCCTGTCGAAAGGTGAAAAAATCTTTCACTAGTTCCAACCCTTTCTGATAATATCGTTTGCTTTGTACGTTGCGTTTGCTGGGAGAATGTATGATCGTGGAGCGACGAAGAGTTTCGTCGATCGATAGTTATGGAATCGTGGAAGGATATGCACCAGGCAACGATGACACCGGCATTATATAGCAAGAAGGCAAGAACATAAAAAAAGATTCGGTTTATTCTTTATATGGAACTTTATATGTAACAGGAACGAATTCGCATGCTGCAGTGGCACAAGCATGAACTGTGATTTGCTCTTTTTGTGGCTGAACATGGTGGTATACAAATTTTACCCCTTTAGAGGCCAGAACCTTTCCGATGTCTTTCGGCTGAAGAGGGCAACCACTTTCATCTGCATTAAATATACGGGGCTCATTCCCTTCTTGTAAGCTGATGTCAAAAGCCTGTTCTTCTCGGAGTTGGACTTCCAAGGTTTTGAACCATCTACGGACGCTGGACTTTGTGGCACTTGCCCGGTTGAGGCCGAGGGATCCGGGAGTTCTCAAACTGAGTTCAACTTTGTGTCTCGTAAGAAATTTAGCCATCCACCCCTTGGTTGGAAAGTTCTTTCCAAAAAGACCTCGCACCTAATGAGGGTCAGTCGCTTTTATCTTCGACACAACTTTCTTCAGTTCCAACATAAGCATGCGAGGCTTCAGTGGATGTCTGATCTCCCGATACCTCACATATGCCAAGATCCGTCCTTCCTCTGCCTTGGTTAACAACGGCTTCGAGCCAAGGACCAGGGCATCTTTCGTTTTCCATTAATTCGATCGTGGAGTGTGGTTCGAGGGATCTCGTATTTCTTTTATGCTTCTGTGATAGTTATCTTTCTTTCACGCACTGCCTCCAGAGCCTCTCTGAGGGCATCTTGATTGTAAGCACCACGTTTGAATTTTGCCCTCTCACCCTGTCCTTTCCGATGAACTTCAGTCCTACGTCTATCCAATTTTTTCGGCATGGCATTTTCTGAACTATTCTATGCATGCGTGTTAGCCACCTGAGTTAGCTTTTTCAGACATTTCCATCTTTGAATTTAATGAAACCCTGTAACGACGAGAATACGACGATACGATCTCTTAGAAAATCAAACTATTGTTACTGTTCCGCGCGTTTGTCTCTCTATTGGTGATGGGAATCACAACACGATAGGGTGACATTTCGAGGATCGAAGACGCGCTCTTCCAGGTTGGAACAGGAGGTCGGGAATATCTAATCCCGAAGGAAGAGGAATTATTAATAGAAGGTCGGGAATGTCTACTTCCGCAAGGCTAAAAGGGTAGAAAGATGATTATCGCCCGTAAACGATAAGTGTTTAAGAGGAAGGTGCACTGTAATCAGTTTAGAGCTCTCAGCTCTCTTGGTGTTCAAAGGGGAGGAGAGGGGTGAGCCTCACCTGTCAGGTGCGTGCGATCCTAGGGCACTGGCCTTCATTTCTGGGCAACTGGTAGTTGGATTACTAGATTAAAATGTAAACGTAACACTGTCTCTAGTCTTTGAGTGTCAAAATGAAATGGAAAGAGGAGTGGCTAAGAACAAAAGACATTTGGAGGGTTAATAAGGAGATCTCTTGGCTGGGGTCAAGGGACAGAGGTCAGGCGTGGCACCTAGGGGGTCATGCACATACTACGGCCTCCCTAAGGCGGCTCACAGAGAGCTCTTCCCTCATATATAGGGCAGCCCTCTGACCAGGCCACTCACCGCGTGTCGTGCCGGCTGGTCCGTTACACTATTGTAGTTTATTTTGAATAGTGACAACAGATATTAAGCTAGTTCTACAAAAGACAAGCCATATTTAAGAGTCTCTTGTAGAAAAGTACGAATAAATCATTAACGAATAGGCAAAGTCAGGTTCGATCCACGATTCACATGGATCATGGACCGACAATCCCTGTCGCAAAGTGATTCTTTCTCATTTTGTAGAATCGCCGGGCTATATGTCTCTGTGCTCTTCTTCCTACAATATTATTGCTGCTACTCCATTAAAAATTGGAGTTAAGATATGCCTTAATGTCATATTCAAAGACCATGAGCCTAGGATGAGTGAATATGAAATGAGACGCGTCATCTGGTAGAGCTTCGTTAGTAGGAAATGGTAATATTCTCGAGAGAAGAGCAGTCTAAACGAAACTGTACTCTCATTTCCTAAACAGATGGAAAAGCAATATCATTATCACTTAGGTTATATGCTAACACAACAGGCAATTGTTAGGTTACGTCTCGAGTGCTCTCCAGGTGCTGCCTCCTGATTTTCCACGTGCTCTTCTCATCGCATCGCACGACGATCCCATTCCCTTAAATGTCGCTCGGTGATACTTTATCCTAGTCCACCTTGCCTTGTCCTCTCCTTAATTCATGTTCTTTGCCGCGTCAATCCATCCAAGCAGACGTGCCGAGTTTTACGAATGATTGATTATGAAAAGAAAATGAGCATTGTTAATCAGTGCTCAAGGAATTATTGCAGATATCCCATAATTAAATACAGTAATTGGAGCTTCTGCTGAAATGCCTGTTTCAAGAAGGCAGAATTTCCTATCCATGATAACTGATGTTTATTTATCTCAATTTATTCACATGACTTCATCCAGCAAGTGCATTTTAAATTTGAACACGATTTAATTTTAGTATAAATACCTCAGTACCTGGGGAAAACACACCCCTGAGACGTGTTATGCCTTCCTAGCAGTGCTTCTTAAGTAACGGAACTTAAAAAAAAAAAGTTTAAATGGTATTATTCAAGGTCAAACGTCGACATTATGTAGTTTGGGTGCATTAATTTGGTATAAAAGTTAAAATAGCATCCAAGATGAAAATATCGCTTTAGGAGCGGTATAAAACATTCTAGTAGCTAGAGTAGCTACTGAGATATTGAGAAATTTGAACTAAGAGATTCACCCAGAAGCATGTTCAGAACAAAATTTCGTGACAATATACCCTGGTAACTAGTAATGTGAATTTTAAAATATTTGGTATTACTTTTTTCTAAATATTCAATTAGGGAGACTTCAAAGTCAAATTTTGGGATGACCCATGAGATACTTCACACAACTAGTTTGAAAATCCTGAAACTTGAGGAAGAACGACCAAGATACGAGCAGGCGTGTCTCACTGTTGAATGCTCCCTGTACTTGGACTCTCGACGGAATCCTTCTGGCAAAATTTCAAGGGTTCGGGGGAAGAGAGACATGATCATTGAAAAGGGACAATTGGGTATCCCCTAAACAAGTTTTCTTTCTTTT